GTAAATAATCACATAAATCCACCCTAAACCTTAAATAATAGATATTTGATTAAATAGTCACCCTTTACCTGTTAGATATTTAATCAAATAGTCACCCTTTACCTGTTAGATATTTAATTAGATAGTCACCCTTTACCTGTTAGATATTTAATTAAATAGTCACCCTTTACCTGTTTCATATTTAATTAAATAGTCACCCTTTACTTGTTTCATATTTAATTAAATAGTCACCCTTTACCTGTTAGATATTTAATTAAATAGTCACCCTTTACCTGTTATTTATTTAATTAAATAGTCACCCTTTACCTGTTAGATATTTAATTAAATAGTCACCCTTTACCTGTTAGATATTTAATTAAATAGTCACCCTTTACCTGTTAGATATTTAATCAAATAGTCACCCTTTACCTGTTAGATATTAAATCAAATAGTCACCCTTTACCTGTTAGATATTTAATCAAATAGTCACCCTTTACCTGTTAGATATTTAATCAAATAGTCACCCTTTATCTGTTAGATATTTAATTTAATAGTCACCTTTTACCTGTTAGATATTTAATCAAATAGTCACCCTTTACCTGTTAGATATTTAATTAAATAGTCACCCTTTACCTGTTAGATATTCAATCAAGGTGGGCAGATGGTTTACATTTTGATAACAATTGTAAGACAAAGGGATCGTAACATTAATAATTATTCTGAAAAATGTTACAGATCTGTAAAACGTGTGAACTTTAATTACTTGAGCTAAAATATTGAATAATGTTGATTTGATGTAACCTTTTCCTAGCTATCTGATGTACTTCAGGTGCATTAATGCCATTATGTGTTTGCAAGTAGAATAGTCTGGTATCACTACATCAAACAGAGATACAAGAGGGTGGTATTAACTTTTTGTGGGGGAGTACACATGTAGGTTGAAAGCCTGCTAGGGAATTGATAAACACTAGACTATCACTGCCGGGTGACAAATTCCATTGCAATAAATTGGATATTATATAGGAGGGTGGTATTAACTTTTTGAGGGGGAGTTCACATGTAGGTTGAAAGCCTGCTAGGGAATGTCAAAACACTAGTAAAAGCTTATGTACTTTAGTAGGGTGAAAGCGTGTGTGTGTGAGGAGTGTTGCCCTATAACCAGAGTGTACCCACATCCAGTACTAGGATATCGTAGGGGGCTGGGAGGAGTGTTGCCCTATAACCAGGATGTACCCACATCCAGTACTAGGATATCGTAGGGGGCTGGGAGGAGTGTTGCCCTATAACCAGAATGTACCCACATCCAGTACTAGGATATCGTAGGGGGCTGGGAGGAGTGTTGCCCTATAACCAGAATGTACCCACATCCAGTACTAGGATATCGTAGGGGGCTGGGAGGAGTGTTGCCCTATAACCAGAATGTACCCACATCCAGTACTAGGATATCGTAGGGGGCTGGGAGGAGTGTTGCCCTATAACCAGAATGTACCCACATCCAGTACTAGGATATCGTAGGGGGCTGGGAGGAGTGTTGCCCTATAACCAGAATGTACCCACATCCAGTACTAGGATATCGTAGGGGGCTGGGAGGAGTGTTGCCCTATAACCAGAGTGTACCCACATCCAGTACTAGGATATCGTAGGGGGCTGGGAGGAGTGTTGCCCTATAACCAGAGTGTACCCACATCCAGTACTAGGATATCGTAGGGGGCTGGGAGGAGTGTTGCCCTATAACCAGAGTGTACCCACATCCAGTACTAGGATATCGTAGGGGGCTGGGAGGAGTGTTGCCCTATAACCAGAGTGTACCCACATCCAGTACTAGGATATCGTAGGGGGCTGGGAGGAGTGTTGCCCTATAACCAGAGTGTACCCACATCCAGTACTAGGATATCGTAGGGGGCTGGGAGGAGTGTTGCCCTATAACCAGAGTGTACCCACATCCAGTACTAGGATATCGTAGGGGGCTGGGAGGAGTGTTGCCCTATAACCAGAGTGTACCCACATCCAGTACTAGGATATCGTAGGGGGCTGGGAGGAGTGTTGCCCTATAACCAGAGTGTACCCACATCCAGTACTAGGATATCGTAGGGGGCTGGGAGGAGTGTTGCCCTATAACCAGAGTGTACCCACATCCAGTACTAGGATATCGTAGGGGGCTGGGAGGAGTGTTGCCCTATAACCAGAATGTACCTACATCCAGTACTAGGATATCGTAGGGGGCTGGGAGGATTACATTGTACCTGTCGTCAAGACATTTTCACCAGTCCAGTCTTAACGTGAAGCTCTGTTCATGAATAAACTGAAGCAAGAGGCAGTTCACACCTGTCCCTCATTTGCATAAATAGGTCATTTACACCAGGTGAACTTAAGGTAAAAATCTAGTGAATCGTCTTCACATTTGAATACCCAAGTTAAGTGTACAGCTATGAGTCAAAGTCCTCTTTTCAATGTGTGTTGTAGCTGTTCTGTGATGTTCTTGAAAACAAGTGTTATTCTGACAGAAGGTTGTGATAAAGCGGTATATAAGAACCTCAAATTATTATTATTACTAGAAGAACAAGGAATTTTGATGTTTTACATCCTGGCATATTCTTTCAGAGTAAAAGTTTACTCAGGAATAATATCGTGTTTATTAGAGATACATGTTCATACTTTTTTATTCCCAATAAGAATTATATTTCGTCATTTTCTACTCGATTTGATAATGAATTGAAATCTTTCATTTGCTTGCTATGAATCACATGGCAAAAAGCAATCCAGGATGCAAAATACGATATAAAAATGCACGAAAATTTAGACAATTCAGCCTCGTTAGTTAAGATGCCACTTAATGGGTAATTTTAAGGTAAAATCAGTCAATGTCCAGCTGGTCAGTAGCTGTCTTGGTCTGTACAACTTCAAATAAATTTAGTAAGTACTGTTGCAGATAATGCATTGTGATTTTAGATCATAAATCTGATCCATACATTTTACTTTCATTTGTGTTTGATTGATTGAATTTATGTCTATTATATAAACCATGCTCCTCCAGCTCTAACTCGGGTTATTCATGCTGATTTAGAAACTTGTTGGTGGTGAATGTTGCATTGTCACGTGCACTGTCACAGTTGCCTAGTTTTATGTAACACATGTTGAAATATTGTAAAAAATAGATATGCAAGCAATTAAAATAATAATTGTTTATCAGGGATTTGACTCAAATTGACATTATCTTCCAATTGCCGTTTTACTCTATTTTAAAATTTTATATACTGCTTATGAATAACTGCAGTTAAGCTGAGGTTAGTAGGTCAAAATTCCTTTACATGAAATGTGAAACAGACTATAGTGGAATTCCAGCTGCCTAAGTTTAGGCCTTTGTTGTGAAAGTAGACTGAGAGCACATGGCAGACCTACTAGTGTGGACGATTAAGGGTAGGTTGTGCACTAAGTAATACATCCATATTTACTGTCATGCAACTGCCATAGAAAATATAAATACTTGTAGTTTTAATGAATTTTAATATCCTGTATTATGGGACATTCATGTTACTGTGTGTGTAGGTACCAGGACTGTGTGTACACATGTGGATTACACCCACTCACAGGAGGTATTATAGTTCAGCACAAATCTGTCAGGCTCACTGTAACTTCAAAACCCAGTGTCATATTAATGGTTTAACAAATGTTTCATGTGTGGTAATATGGAGTTGAAGTGTTCAGACATTGCCGTGGATGCATGCCTCATCTACCTATATTTATATGTGTACACATACCAACCTACAGCTAAATTCAGATACAGGTACTCGCCATTGTCCAATGTCTTTATAAAGATTCAAAGTCTGTGTGGTCATCATGGTTTGGTGGACAAACTGTATAGACGAGATATCCCATCTGACAAGTTATGTGATACATGTTTGGTGATTTATTAGACGTTTAATGACATACTGCAATGTGGAAGTTTCAGTGTGTTCAACTTACAGAAAATGTCAACAAGTATCTCTAATACATGAAGGTGTCTTGCCTGAATATCACAAAACATGCACCCATATCTTCTGATATGTTTGTAAGATATTGACAATCTAAAATGATACCCAATAACAATGGTGTACACAATTTATGATAGAGCTACATATACATTAATACAGGGGTAGGACAAATGACAATGCTGTCAGGCTATATGATGTTGTCTGGCAGCTGGTATAAAATGTAAATATTTTGACTTGTTTATAGCCAGCATAGAAATTTGAGAATCGGGCTATTATGTAATGATAACTAATCAATACATTTGTAATTGATGCTTCATCTCGTTACCCATTGAAGCAAAACTATCAAAATTGTGCATTGATTTTCTTAAGGAAACAAACATGGATTGATATCAAACAGTGCACTTTTGCCTCTTCATTTTATCAATTTCTTGGGTTGCTCTCTTTATTCTTATCCCACACTTTTCAAAAGAATTGTGTACTTTCATTATTTAAAAAATGCTACGCATTGCAAAGAAAAGCAGGGATATTAATTTGTATCTGCCTGTTTGTCATGTTTTAGTTTCCGTGCAGTGTTTCATTGATGTACAGTTAATGAGGTTACAATAGACTACATCAAAAACATGTCCTGCAAGCATGGTATATAAACTTATAAACTCCAGAATTTACAGATTTAAAGTAAACTTAAGAGTTCACTATTCTGCAAGATCTGTACTACCTAAAAGTTAAAAAGGACCACCTTATATCAAACTATGGTAAGGCCTGGTGTCTGCCAGGTAAAAGGGCCACCTTGTATCCAATTAGGGTAAGACCTGGTGTGTTTCAGGTAAAAGGACCACCTTATATCAAATTAGGGTAAGACCTGGTGTGTTCCAGGTAAAAGGGCCACCTTATATCAAATTAGGGTAAGACCTGGTGTCTGCCAGGTAAAAGGACCACCTTATATCAAATTAGGGTAAGACCTGGTGTGTTCCAGGTGCCAAATGTTGTCAAACCCTGTCAGGGTTAACATAGCATGGTACATATGGTAATATTGATCTTTTTTTTCTGAAGGTTGGAATAATTGATGCTAATGGCGATTTACCTGGGTTGCGAGAGCAGAGCTCGAAGCCACGTAAGTATAAAAAAAAGAGGAATGTAATCATCTAAATATGGTTTTGAATAAAACATTATTACAAGAGTCAAAATAGTAGGTAGATTTTATGTAACTGAGTTTTCTATAAAGATTGAAAGAACTAATTAGATATCACTATCAAGACATTGTGTGATTTGCATTACAGCACTGCGGTTGGTAGCTGTGCCCATCACTGGTTCCCCAAATAAAATGTCCCCATATAAAAATGCAGATCAGCAGATGTCACACCTATTACCAAAGGTAGGTAACTCTTGACATGGATTGTGAGATTATTAAACACTGAATTTTTAGGTCACCTGAGCTTTAGCCGTGTAGTGTGATGAAGGGCCTTGTAGTGTGATGAAGGGCCTTGTTGGGTGATGAAGAGCCTTGTAGTGTGATGAAGGGCCTTGTTGTGTGATGCAGAACCTTGTAGTGTGATGAAGGGCCTTGTTGTGTGATGAAGGTCCTTGTTGTGTGATGAAGGGCCTTGTAGTGTGATGAAAGGCCTTGTAGTGTGATGAAGGGCCTTGTTGTGTGATGAAGGTCCTTGTTGTGTGATGAAGGGCCTTGTAGTGTGATGAAGGGACTTGTAGTGTGATGAAGGGCCTTGTTGTGTGATGCAGAACCTTGTAGTGTGATGAAGGGCCTTGTTGTGTGATGCAGAACCTTGTAGTGTGATGAAGGGCCTTGTTGTGTGATGAAGAACCTTGTAGTGTGATGAAGGGCCATGTTGTGTGATGAAGGGCCTTGTAGTGTGATGAAGAGCCTTGTAGTGTGATGAAGGGCCTTGTTGTGTGATGCAGAACCTTGTAGTGTGATGAAGGGCCTTGTTGTGTGATGCAGAACCTTGTAGTGTGATGAAGGGCCTTGTTGTGTGATGCAGAACCTTGTAGTGTGATGAAGGGCCTTGTTGTGTGATGAAGGTCCTTGTTGTGTGATGAAGGGCCTTGTAGTGTTATGAAGGGCCTTGTTGTGTGATGAAGGGCCTTGTAGTGTGATGAAGGGTCGTTGTAGTGTGATGAAGGGCCGTTGTAGTGTGATGAAGGGCCTTGTAGTGTGATGAAGAACCTTGTAGGGCCTTGTAGTGTGATGAAGAACCTTGTAGTGTGATGGAGGGCCTTGTAGTGTGATGAAGGGCCTTGTTGTGTGATGCAGAACCTTGTAGTGTGATGAAGGGCCTTGTTGTGTGATGAAGAACCTTGTAGAGTGATGAAGGGCCTTGTAGTGTGATGAAGGGCCATTGTAGTGTGATGAAGGGCCTTGTAGTGTGATGAAGAACCTTGTAGGGCCTTGTAGTGTGATGAAGAACCTTGTAGTGTGATGGAGGGCCTTGTAGTGTGATGAAGGGCCTTGTTGTATGATGAAGGGCCTTGTAATGTGATGAAGGACCTTGTTGTGTGATGAAGGGCCTTGTAGTGTGATGAAGAGCCTTGTAGTGTGATGAAGAACCTTGTAGTGTGATGGAGGGCCTTGTAGTGTGATGAAGGGCCTTGTTGTATGATGAAGGGCCTTGTAATGTGATGAAGGACCTTGTTGTGTGATGAAGGGCCTTGTAGTGTGATGAAAGGCCTTGTAGTGTGATGAAGGTCCTTGTTGTGTGATGAAGGGCCGTTATAGTGTGATGAAGGGCCTTGTTGTGTGATGAAGAGCCTTGTAGTGTGATGAAGGGCCTTGTAGTGTGATGAAGAACCTTGTAGTGTGATGAAGGGCCTTGTAGTGTGATGAAGGGCCTTGTTGTGTGATGAAGAACCTTGTAGTGTGATGAAGGGCCTTGTTGTGTGATGAAGGGCCTTGTAATGTGATGAAGGACCTTGTTGTGTGATGAAGGGCCTTGAAGTGTGATGAAGGGCCTTGTAGTGTGATGAAGGGCCGTTGTAGTGTGATGAAGGGCCGTTATAGTGTGATGAAGGGCCGTTCTATTTTAAAGCATCATTAGTATAAAATCAACTTGTTCCTTTTACGTCTCAGAGAACAGTAGGATCACCACAAGTAATCATGGCTGCTACGAGTCCCAGAACACCCATGGTCCCGGTCGACTCCCTATGGGGGCGCAAACGCCAGGCAGATATCACCATAGAAACAGAATTTGCAGAAGGGTTAGTACCAATGTAGTAATAAGGTATACTGGTACATGGCCAGGAACAGATCAAAATTAGTTGAGTAATTTGATGAGTAAATGTTTCGACATCTCACCTGGCTGTTTTGGTATACAAATCTGATGAAGTCTGGTCATATATATTGACTTGATGCTGGTAATTTGTTTTCAACTGACTATCTATAGTATTGGCTTCATGATGGGAGATTGTCTACAGCTTATTATACATAACTGATTATTCACTTTGCGATGAGTTTGTCTACAATTGTCCGACCGACTTATTGAGTTTATCCACAATTTTGTATGAGAGTTTGTCAAAATTAGCTTATTGACTAACATTGTTTTATCTAAATTATAAAAAGGCTTTATGATAAGAGTTCATTTTATAACTGACTGACTTACCATTAGCATGCGGGTTTGCCCTCAACTAATTGTTGACACTTAATAATTGACCATCCTGAGAGTAGAGAAAATGTAAAGCTAAATGCCACATATCAAAGCAATCATTCAGGTATTCCTTCCCTTAAGGAAAAAACAAATACTTATTGAATGTATGAAAGAACTGACAGATTTATTATGTGGCAATCCTTAGAAAATGATAACCTAGTTAGATTGTGTTTACTGCAACTGAAGTCCGTAGGATTGCATTGGTAATCAATTTGATTTAATTTAGTAATAAAAACATTTGAATTATTTTGTATGACTTGTGTACCTATAATCTTGTGATGTTTGCAGTAAGAGGGGTAAGAAGGGTGAGAAAGGAGGAAAAGGTCTACGACACTTCTCCATGAAGGTGTGTGAAAAAGTGCAGAGGAAAGGTGTTACATCATACAACGAGGTGGCTGATGAGCTGGTGCAAGAGTTCAGCGACCCACGGAACCTTACTTCACCCTCTGACCAGGTAAAAACAATCTTATTTCACCCTCTGACCAGGTCAATACAACCTTACTTAACCTTCCAATTTGCTAAATCTAAACCAGTTGTCATTTGATCACATTTTCAGTTTATTAAATTTTGAAGGGGAATGCCTAGGAAGAGGAACTCTTATACTTTTTCATAAAGAACTAAATTGTCTGGTCAGTAACTTAACTTTGACATTATTCCTCTTTCTGTTTATTTTGCAGGCATACGACCAGAAGAATATCCGACGAAGAGTTTATGATGCCCTGAATGTACTTATGGCCATGAACATCATCTCCAAAGAGAAAAAGGAAATCCGTTGGATCGGCTTACCCACAAATTCCGCCCAAGAATGCCAAAATCTTGAGGTAATAAAGGAAAGGTCAACTGTGATGTTGTCAAAAGTAACGGGGAAAGGTCAACTGTGACGTTGTCAAAAGTAACGGGGAAAGGTCATCTATGATGTTGTCAAAAGTAACGGGGAAAGGTCAACTGTGATGTTGTCAAGAGTAACGGGGAAAGGTCAACTGTGATGTTGTCAAAAGTAACGGGGAAAGGTCAACTGTGACGTTGTCAAAAGTAACGGGGAAAGGTCAGAATGCAAGGATGAATGATACTTGGTGTAAAGGATGATAGAGGCTTGGTTAGGGGTCTATTTGGTGAGGGATTAAAAGCTCAAAAGTGAAAGTACAAAGTTCAGGGTTGTAGACATATTTTCGTTGTAGTTGAAAAGAAAAAAAAAGGAATTGAGTTGTTAGCTACAGATTTGTTTGAAGTTGATAGCACCCTGCAGTTCAGTGTTAAATTTATTATTTTCGGTTTACTTGAGGTTGTTGTATAATTGATCATTTTATGGATGGAAAACCTGGATGTTAAGTATTTTTACCATGTACCTCGATTCCGTGTTACAGTTAGACAAGCAGAAACGAATGGAGAGAATTAAACACAAAACACAGCAGCTACAGGAGTTGATATTACAAGTAAGTAATAATACAGTCTGTAGGATGGATAAAATCACTAAAATTCATCATGTAAAATCAATATATGAGATTTAAAAATGTTGATTATTAATATCTTCAATAACATTCATCAGTTCGGAAATTTGTTAAAATATTTTTTTTACATTGTACACAAACGATGTGTTGTAACATATTAGGACTGACTGGTCCCTTTGTATGATTTTATGTCGCTCAACCCAGGATGTTTTGCCTATCGATAGAGATCGTAAACACAGTATCGAAAAGGTTACAGGTAGGGTGTAGACCATAGCCCCCCCTCCCCTGTCATGTCGGTATCGGATGACTAAGCTGATGTACATGTTCCCCCTCATTTCTTCTACTGTACTAGGGTGGTCGGGTGGTGCAGTGGATAGCCCACTTCCTTTTCACCAAGGCAGCCGGGGTTCGATTCCCCGATTGGATGTGAAAAGGTATGGGGCCACCTGCCCGACCACGTGGGTTTATCCGGGAACTCCGGTTTCCTCCCACACATTTATATAAGTTAACATCACTTGTTTCATAATCGTTGTAAAATAAATAAAGTTTATATAACGTTATCTCTTCTACTGTCTACACGCTACCTGTAATTAATCCATCTACCACCTGTCTTGTCCCAGTATTCCAACTGTAATATGTAATATTCAGCCACTTTTAACTAGCAACAAAAGGTGGATGGATTAATGAGGCTTAACTTTATTGTTATATTGAACAATAGGATGTTGTAGTTGTAGGATTGTAGCAGAAATTTAGTTTGGCAGCCAACAGCCTTAACAGCTATCATATGACAACAGTAAAAAGGGAACTTGATTTACTGTATTTTGGAAGACCAATTAGCAAAATTGTAACCTGTAGAAAATATTAAAATTAAAGATATTCAGATTTTGTCCACACTTTGTAAAGGTTTCTTTTCGACAAACATTGCATTTGTGTTTATTTACAGCAAATTGCCTTTAAAAATCTGGTACAACGTAACCGAGTGAGGGAGCAAAGTAGTGGTGGTCCTGCCACTAACTCCGCCATTCAGCTTCCCTTCATCATTGTCAACACCAGTAAAAAAACAGTCATTGACTGCTCCATATCCAATGACAAGTAAGTAGTAGGGGCTTTCATAAGGGACAGGTCATATGTTTTAAACTGATTTTGATATTCACACAAATAAAATTTATGTATTAAGTATCTGGAAATATGTTCATACATTTTAAAGGAGTTAATAATTTAAGTTTTATAGATTTATATTTGTTTGAACTTTTTCTGAATGGAAATTTGCAAAAAAAAAAAGACTGAAAGGTCTGGTGTACACTATAGAATGATTTTTTGTTCACTGTGCATCACATTGTCCACAGCATATATCATATATACTCTGTCACATACAGTTGCCAGATATAGTTCGTGAGTACGTCTTTGGATAGTAGATTGTGGCAGAAATGTGACTTGTGATCCACAAGTACAGTTATAGCCCTTTGCCTATTTTGATACCAAAGTTGATTCAAAGATGTCACAGAGGCTTTATGCTTTGCTTACAATTCTTTACTTGTTATTAACCATGTCACCTTTACTTTCCACAGGTACGAGTATTTATTTAACTTTGATAACACGTTTGAGATCCATGATGATATTGAGGTTCTGAAGAGGATGGGAATGGCCATGGGTCTGGAGAAAGGTCAGATAGCCCAGCCAGATCTGTCGCGGGCTGTCAAGATGGTGCCCAAGTCCCTGGAGCCTTATGTTTATGGTACATGTTCTAGCAGGTTACCATATTAGAATTGTAAAATTTTAGATATTTGGTTGATTTTGATTTACTGTACAGCAGTGACTGGTACAGGTCTGTTTACAGTCTTAAACCAATCATACTGCAAATGTATGAATTTATAAATATGTAGTTATTATACCCCCTTCTACAAAGTAGGAAGAGTAATGTTTTTGTCTTGTCTGTTTGTCTCAGTAATTGTTTTCACTAGGAAGAATCGTTAATAATTGTATTTTCACTAAATTTTGGGCAATCGTCAGATGCTCTGATATTTTGGATTAGGGTGTGTTTTGCAGAGCTTATCCCCATGATAAAGACATCCTACGATAAAACTTTGTCATTTCTCTAGCTAGCTCATTTATGGCCATCAATGAATGATAAAGGTGTGTTGTTTACAGATTTGGCGCAGGGCAGTATGGCCAATGCTGGACCAAGTGGTATCCGGCCAATCACCTCGGGGATATCCCCACACAACCAGTCCAGGTACTTTATCAAAGTTAACTCAAACTTTCACTGTCATTGGGGCTAGTAATTCATTGTAATATTTGATTTAAATTGAATACAAATGGCTATTTCTCCAGGGTAAAATGAATATCACAATATTTAGTGCAAATGGTAAGGATTGAAGAGCAATGTAATACTATGAACAGCAATTGAATCATTTTAGCCTTAATCAAATACAAATAGCTCTTATTCCAGGGTAATAGGAATCTTAAAAAGGGTATGTACAGATTTTGTTGGATAAGACGGAAGTGGGTCATTGATGGAAGTAAGTTTCATGTAAGTGAGGGCGAGTTCAATCAACAACTGTAGGGAGACTATGGTCTAACAATGTGACTTGTGCATGTGTAAAGAAACAAGGCGGACCTACCAATTTCCTTGGACCAGAACAACTAGTGGTCGCATGGAGCTGTGGTGGCCTAGTGGTTAAGGCGCCTGACAGTCCGCTACCACTAGCCCTCCACTACTGGGTCGCAGGTTTGGCTACCAGCATGTGTAAGCACATTAGGTGTAAGAGCCCGACTATAGTAATTATAAATGGCTGATGATTGAATTCGCCCTGCATTGATTACTCTCTGTTACTTCGACTATTACGTCAATGTCCTTTTCCTGAACTGTTACAGGTATAAGTCGGTGACTATGTCATCACAAACTGTAGATGTTGACATGGAGGTTGCTATGGCTACCAGTCAAGGATTGTCGCGGGACTCCAGCATGGGCTCGTACTCTGACATGCCTTCCCGTGCTGCGACAGAGACACCGTCCGAGGACTTCAGCGATGAGACGGACACAGACAGATCCAGTCCAGTGGATATGAGCTAGAGTTAGAGGGATAGGCAGAGAAAGCTTTCCACTTTGACCAATGAGTCGCTATCAGACTGACTGAGTGGTCAGATAATGTTTCGACTGACCATTGGTTAAACTGACCATAGGAGATGGGGCCCCCCAGATATAGGTGTTTGATGATGACTGGTCAGATATTTAAATAGTCATGGACTGGTCAGTGAGGTCAAAGGTCGACTTCATAGGACCAGTTGGTTATGTAACCAGGACAAGGTCTGCCTGTCTGAGTGATTGACCAGCTGTGATAAATTGACATGTGAAGTATGTGTGGAACAAGTCAACACAAGGGGGCGCCACAAACGGCACTGCTAAACAGTGCCACAAACCGATCACTATAGGCACTGCAGTGTCTATGAAGGGTCAATACAGCATATGGAGTATTGCACAAGGTCAAACATTTTGTGCATGTTTATGATTCTGCTGGAGCGACAACAAAGAGATGCCACACAATTTCCTTATAGTCTCAGGATTTTTCCTCATCTGGATGGAATGTTTTTTTATCATACCAGGAGAAGAAGCTATGCTTTTAAGACAAGTTTTCGACGAGATGACATAACAAATGTGGAAGCTGTTGTTGGCTCCTTGGCCATCTTAATTTTTTCATTGAAACGATCAATGCAATAGACTGAATATAACTTGCATATAATGTCATTGCTAGTGACTAACCCTATCGTGAATATTTCAATGCAAAGATCTAGTGTATTCCCACATCCAGGGAAATCAAACAATCGTGGACTTGAGAAGAGAATTGCTTCAGATATTGTGTGGTTGGTGTGGTTGGTTTTGGTAACAGTGAGTTGTGTGCAGCCTATGTATTTGTAGGACTGGGGTATGTTTAATGTTTATGTGTAAACTACGTGTGTAGATCACTAATATTTAGCGAGAGATTTATTTTTACATTAATAGTTAACCCCCCCATTTGCAAATAATGTTCTAATCTCCTTAGGGAATTGATTCCAGCACTAGTTGCAAAGTGTTTGGACTCCAAACAGATCAGCTGTTGAGATACGATACATGAGGATAAAGTAAATGTTAAATTCAGTAATAATGATTATGGAAAATTTGTGGAAGCCGGGAGACTTTGGAAGTGTTACTTGTTATATATATTGCGATACAAATGTTAAGTTTTCTCATGCTGATGTATACAAACCTGTCCAGTTAGGATGGTTAGCTTTAGGACGATTCTAAGTTTATTTGTGTTGAAAGTAGTTAGAAAATAAGACAATTAGATAATTATTTCTTCATTCCTAAGATTTCTCTGCTGGTTTGGTGATTCTCACAGAAAACCTTGTCTTTTTCACACTTCGACAGCACATTGCATTATATTATTAAAATATTTTCTTTTTATGACAGATCTTGTTTAATTTTGACACTGAAATTAACCCCAATAGGTAATTTGAGTTGAATTGATATATTACTGAAAGCTTTTTAAGTTACAAAATATGCGAGGAAATTCATGTCCCTTCATATCAGTAACCAAAGTCAGAAGTTAAAATTGTAACACAAAGCATTTTGTTACATTCAAGGTTTCGAAAGTATTCAATTAGGTCGTCACAAAATGAAGTAATCCTTGTGTGCTGCAAATATATGTATGTGTAGGGAATTTTGAAGAAGGGCTGTGCTTCATTTCTGGGACTATAGCAGACACATGAGCTGAAACTTCAAGCCTACATTGGTTTGGATGGGCATGGACCATGGGCTGTTTTCCCACATTCGGCTTTCAAACTCTTCATTTAATCTGAAAAATCTTTGATATGGTTCAAAAACAGAATTCCATTTTTCATTGATGGCATCATTGTATGTTGTTGAGATATGTGTCCTTTATCAAAGGTTAAATAATATCCTAACTCACTAAGGTTTTGTTTTTTGGAAATTTGTTTCGGTAGAGCCAGCAGTGAGATCATTTTATGGCCATGTGTACGCGTATTACAACATCAGTAAAAATCCTAGTTATTTAATTCTGCACAAAAAAAGACATTTTGGGCAATAAGGAATAGCTGTAGGTTATATTTTCATTTCAAAACATTTTAAAAATACTTGTTTGTTAAATTTTGATTCCAAATAACATGTGACGTGCGTTAGAGTTTGACCTTTCTTCATAATGGACTATATATTAATCTGCCATAAAATCTGATTTCTGTTGTGACGTAAGAACTCTCACCTGTTAAAACAGGAAAATAGTTTATTTTATGGTGGGTACGTAGCCTATTAAAGGTGCTGAATATATTGGGCTACCACTATGCATCAGTAATCTTAAGTTTATTTCCACATAAATATAGCATTTGTCAATTTTTGTTTAGATTTCGGCTATTATTCAATGTTACCATTTGTGTTCTAGTGCTCAAAGGATGTGTTAGTGTGGTTAAACTTTCGGGCTCAGAATTTCATAGCCGTAGTATATATCTTATTTGATGTTGTTGGTTTTAATTGGTTAAAGCTTCCCATATTGTTACCATACAGCTACATGTATATGCAACTTATTCCAATTAGACCGTTCTCTCTTTGTGAACACCGACCTAGATGTAAAGTCGTTGTAAGGGGATTCATGTATTGAGATGAGAAAAGCAATACCACATCTGCGCAATAAATATTTTCACCTATTTTCAGCTTTCCCATTAGTAATACACCACATCTAAACGATAAAAAAAATCACCTAAATTCAGCTTTTGTCTTGACCAATTTCAACTGCAATGATGTGGGCTCGCTCCTTTAATTGTGATTGGTTTGAGGGCATCGGTCATATTTGCTACCCTGTTGATGGGTGTTTTAGGTACAGAAATGCTTGTCCTTACAAAAGCCTGTTACGTATACTCTTGCAAGTTTCAAGACATTTTGCAAGTCATTTAATTTCCCTGTACATGTATACATATTTCTGATAATGCAGCTTCAAATGATTTCATCTTGTACATGTGGATATGCAGCTGTATTTTAACTTGAAAGGTGTGTGATATTTTGTGATGGCCTCTTCTTGCGAAAATAAGTGACTAAAATTCAATGACTAACAATCATATGCCTAATCCTAGCCCTTTACACAATCCTCAAGGTACAACTTCTAAAGGACAGTATGTTTATGGTTCTGAAATGAAAACAATTCGTTTGAATTTTCTTATATTTTTTGCTTCAATTTGATGTCATCAACATGAACATATTGAACATACATTTTGTAGATGGGGAATTTTAATGTCGTGTCTTTAGATTTTCTAGCTCATTATTAATGTACACTCTAAAATACATTTTCTATGAACCAGGAATATATAATTGCAAGTCCAAACTTTATTATTTAAAGATGACAACCAGAGAGGATTGTGAAATTTGGACCTAGTTTTGGATTGTGTTCCATTCAAGTTTTTTTTCACTGTTTGCTCAAGGGATCCTTTACTGTACATTGCATACCTGTAGTGTTAGCCTAAATTATTGACTTGTTTGCTTGGTTGCTCCCCCTTGCTTGTTGTTGGCTTCATTTTTACATAGGTATAAAACATTTAGATGTGACAATTTCCAGACATTGAATTATTATATAGGCATGGAAAGTTGCATTTAATATGCCATGTAATCATTTAAAGGTGTGATTTTTTTTTTTTGTATATTGAATATAATCTTCTTCTTTTTTCGTGCCGACAGAATTTGGATTTAGCTGTGCTGATTGAATTGTTGTATTTGTTTTATGTAAAGTCACACTGTATGTAGATCTTCTAGACCTGACTTACATCATAAAACTAGTTACACTTTAAAAGAAAGCTTAACTGGTCGGTACCAGAATATTGTCTAGATTGTTCTCTTTTGTTGGGTGTACATGGGTTTCACCTAAAATCCAAAGGTACTTGTTATTTTTGAAGAGATCTCATTGAAATTAGGTATTTGTATACAATACTTAAACAAATTTGATAGTGGTCCATAGCTATGGGTTAGTGTGATTTGAAACACTCTTAAATACACATGCTTTGTTGTTTTAGGATGAAAATTATGTCTTGTTATTTGATGTACAGGAAAACCATTTAAGGTATGTCAGAATAGAGATGTATGCTATTTGTTATGACAAAAAGAGTTGTTCAGAGATGTGTGCAAGGTTGAATGAGGATTGTGTTTGGGTTCGTAATGTAAGAGCTACAGTTTTGTATGATTGATCGACGGCAGGTGTGTGTGTGGCGAGCCCATTGATTTGTCTGCATATTTTCATATATATCTTTTGAGTCAACATATTTCATAAACCTAAGTACATATTTTCATTAGTCATCAACAAAAAATATTATGTTTATTTCTATTTTTCCTCCATATTAATATTATATTAATACATTTATTAGGATTTAGAGCTGCATTTGGTAACACCTGCTGTGCCAGGTCTGTAGCAGTGGCCTATCTACATTTCTCAATCATTCATTCATTACAATGTAATTGCATGTTAATGGATTTAAAATGTACTTTTACAGTCTTGAAGTAAAGGGATTGGATTATCAATTAAAGTGGAGTCTGTTTCAAAATGTTGTCGGGTAGGAAAATTGTGTAGATTAATAAATAATAATGAGGCTTGCCTTGCTCATGTGATGACAGTAAATAGAAAACTGAGTTTATACCTTGTAATGCAGGCACAATTAATGAAACCTTTTGAATAAAATTGAGATCTGGATATATTACTTCATGCAAAGTTTAAAAAACAATTTTGCACAAAATAAACAAAATTCACATTTATGTACATCATAATGTGATGGGAAAAAAAGCCTTGCATTGACATTCTGTTGGTACACACATTCCACAGAATACAAATCTGAACAGGAAAGCAGTGATAAAACCTGTGTTCCCATATTTGTAGAAGTAAATACCTATCTGTACATAGAATGTAGTAATAATTTGGATGCAGGTGCTTCAAATTGTTTGCAAAAGTTTACCTCTAATTATATTTGTAATTAGGATTTTATTGGTGGCCATGTTGCAACCAGACTAGTTTCTCTAGTGTCAAGTTTTAATCAGTAACTTGTCAGCACTCGGTACTGGCAGCTAACTTGTGTAAATACAAACTTGTGTAGATTTGTAAAGTAGTCTGTAAGCCATGAACCTATTTTTATTTTGTACAATTCAAACTTAATTTAAAACTGGAAAAAAATAATACAGGGAGTCAGTGATACAATAACAAGCAGCTATGCAGTCAAACATTATGATGGGTGTCGAGAATTCAAAACTATTATTCTTAAAGAAATTGTAAACAATATGTGTAAATTTGATGATCATGCAACTTAACATTTATAATTGTGTAATACATCTGTAAAGTTTCATGACCAACTCATCATCGATTAAAAAAGAATGCACTGTTCTCCTGTGTTTGTGCTGTATGAGGTAAGATTGTCAGACTCGGATATGGATGCCCTGTAATAATGTTTCAAACCATCATCCTTAAACGAATGCTTTGATTTTCACCAACGTTCAGATGAAATCATCCAGCTGAAATCGTCGAGCGTACATCTTTACCGATGAAATTGTCAAGCGTACATCTTTACCGATGAAATCGTCCAGCATACATCTTTACCGATGAAATTGTCCAGCTTACATCTTAACTGATGAAATGTCCAGCTTACATTATTACAAATGAGATCGTCTAGTTGACATAGTTACAGATGAAAAAGTCCAGCTGACATTGTTACTAAAGAAATCGTCCAGCTTACATCTTTACTGATGAAATCTCCCAGCTGACATCATTACTGATGAAATCGTCCAGCTTACATCTTTACTGATGAAATCGTCCAGCTGACATTATTACAAATGAAATCGTCCAGCTGACATCGCTACTGACGAAATCGTCCAGCTGACATCATTACTGATGAAATCGTCCAGCTTACATCTTTACTGATGAAATCGTCCAGCTGACATTATTACAGATGAAATCGTTCAGCTGACATTTTTAGGTCACCTGAGCTTTAGCTGAAATACTGTCAAAGGGATTTCATTGATACTTCATGGGAATGTTACCGAAAACTCCCTGACCAAGTGTTGTTATTTTCGGGTCAATCAGAAATCCAATATGGCCTCCATGACCGGCCATTTTGAAAAACTATTTCAAACTTAATGTCAAGTTCTACTGGGCTGATTGAACTGAAACTTGGTAGGAATGATAGACTCATGGTTCTGACAAAGTGTTGTTATTTTCGGGTCAATCAGAAATCCAATATGGCCTCCATGACCGGCCATTTTGAAAAACTATTTCAAACTTAAAAGTTCCTGGCAAAATGATATCTTTTTCCCCTTCAGGTCAATCAAAAATCCAATATGGCTGTTATGACTGCCATTTTGGGAAAAAACTATTTAAAACTAGAGATCAAGTTCTAATAGGCCTATTTAATTGAAACTTGGTCTAGGATTGATCAACTCATTGTCCTGACAAATTTAACTTAATGTTATACTTAACCAATTTTTGGTAGGGATGATCGACATCATTATCTCCACTTCATATTTCAACAACAAAAATTAATACTGTAGGACTCGGGTGACTGTTAAGGCCCATGGGACTCTTGCTAGACATCGTTACAGATGAAATCATCCAGCTGACATTATTACTGATGAAATGGTCCAGCTGACATTTTTATGTCACCTGAGACAAAGTATCAAGTGACCTATTGAGATCTCCTTTTGTTCGGCGGCATCCGTCGTGCGTTCTTAAACAATTTACATTTTTGACTTCTCCAAAACCCCTGAACCAATTTCAATGAAGTTTTGCAGAAACCTACCATGGCCAAAGGTCAACAAAAACAGTGACTTGGTCCCCAGCCCCCAGGGGCCTAAAAGGGCCAAATTGACTAAATTTTGGACCAACATTTGTTAAATTTCCATTGGAAATAATTCAATTTAGGTTAGCATTATCAGTATTAGGTAGCAGTTTGATAGTATGCACATATGAGCCCTGACTGACCCCCAGGGGCTGATGGGTGGGGCCAAAAAGGGTTAAATGACTGAAATTTCAAAAATCTTCTTCTCATAGACCCAGATATGGTAGAATCAAACACTCTTCATAGATGGAAGGGTCTTAAGGGATATGACCCTAGGGTCTCACTTTTACCCCCTGGGGAAGACAATGTACTATGGTTTATAATGGCAAATGATACTTTGAATATTACATGTTAATAACTTGATTGGAATTATAACCCTGAGTTGACAGTTTGATGCTAGTTTCAAATACTTTTCAGTTTTAAATCTGTATGCTAGATATTGAATAAGGTGGTTTTATTGTTTTTTGTCACTTTGAATAACATTTCTGTTCATGTTAAAAGCAAAATCAACTGGCTGTATAAATATATCAGGTGACCGTTTAGACCCATGGGCCTCTTGTTACAGATGAAATCGTCCAGCTGACATTGTTACAGATGAAATCGTCCAGCTGATATCGTTACATTGGACATCACAAAAATAGCCCTTATAAGGTTGTGATGGTAAAGAAAACTGAATTCATGATTATCACAGACAAAAACAAGAAATTAACTAGACATTTTTTTTTAATAAATTTCTCGATATATATACACAATTATTAAAACGATGCTTACAACATACAAGGAAAAGGAAGTCAAATGGGTTCCTGCTACCTTACTAGAAATTTGAACCACGGAGGAATCTTGATAATTCTATTATTCTACAGAACTTTCACAATTACTTTAAGGAAAACAACTGTTATTCCAGAAATGTTTAAGCAAGGTGATTGGGTAAGTAAACCAGGCATTCTGGGTTTGACCCCCAGCCAAGACATTGTAAAAATAATTACGTCTGTAACATCTTCCATCTGTTACATCAAACTAATAAATAATGATAGTTCTCATCTCACAACTGATTAACCTTACTTACAAAATTATGCTGGCCTTCATCTCCTGTCTAAATAAATTAACATAACGCCAGAAGTTGTCTTCAATTAAAAACAAATTAAAAATCGAAGTAAAGGAGTAAACAATTAATAAATATACTGCATCTAATTGTTTAGAAGTACACATTAACTGTATTACAAGGTAAAGTTTTCAAATATTTTATCTTGAAATCTTGAAGTAATCTCATTCACCTTATTTTCCCAGAGAATTGTCCAGGTACTGTACTTTTTGCTTGAATGAGATCTAACAATATATATATCTCAATATACAAAAAAACCTTCCCTCTGTTACAACAGTGGCATATTATCAGTCTTATGAAATCAACATCCTGATCCAACACCATTGAGATTAATGATGCTTGGAGGGATTGCTTTGTTGACCAGTGAAAACCTTTTTCTCTGTCTACAGATGGAACCGTCGGAATTTCCCGTCTATAAGACCCTTCTGTAAAATCATCTGAGCAGGATCGAGGGGGAATGGGCGTTCAAACTTCTTACTTTGGTATTTAATTAAATATGAAAGAATCATAATCTAACCAACAAAAGACCAGTACTCATCACTCATTTGAGATGCAAGTTAACAGGTGTTTTGTAATGTTCATTCTTGCACACCAAGTCTGTGGTTGAAGTTCTTCAAACATTTCTGAAGCACATCAAGACCACTGTCCATTTGATGTACCACAATAAATCCATGCAGTTTCTATCCCACAATCTTGTCTGTATTCAGGTGAACCATGTTCTCCGCATAAAATGTTACCGCAAACATGTGTTCCATAAGCACCCTACTTGCCGATCCTCTGAACTTCCCAGTCCTGTTGGCACAGTGGACAGCGCTTGTTCTGCTTTACCCACAAAGTCATACAGCAAAGGTGAAATGAATGGTTACATTCTCCCCATACAACTGCAAAGCAAATAGAAAATAAAATTTGAAATTTTGTATTTCTTTATTTATAAGAGGTGAAATATGTGAGTTTGTTTGCTACAGTTTTGTTTCCTAGCAACAGTGGAAATCGTATGATTTCTTAAAGACGATGTCCACAGATGATTGGCCACTTTTATGTGCCACCTAACTGAAAAGTTATCCCTAGACATTGCAGCCTAACATCCCAACCAGACACAGTGATCTAACATAGTGCTATTTGACTGAATGTTATCCCTAGACATTGCAGCCTAACATCCCAGCCAGACACAGTGATCCAACATAGTCCTATTTGACCGAAATGTTATCCCTAGACATTGCAGCCTAACATCCTAACCAGACACAGTGATCCAACATAGTGCTATTTGACTGAAATGTTATCCCTAGACATTGCAGCATAACATCCCAACCAGACACAGTGATCCAACATAGTCTTATTTGACTGAAAGTTATCCCTAGACATTGCAGCCTAACATCCCAACCAGACCCAGTGATCCAACATAGTCCTATTTGACTGAAATGTTATCCGTAGACATTGCAGCCTAACATCCCAACCAGACACAGGGATCCAACATAGTCCTATTTGACTGAAATGTTATCCGTAGACATTGCAGCCTAACATCCCAACCAGACACAGTGATCTAACATAGTGCTATTTGACTGAATGTTATCCCTAGACATTGCAACCTAACATCCCAACCAGACACAGTGATCCAACAAAGTCCTATTTGACTGAAATGTTATCCCTAGACATTGCAGCATAACATCCCAACCAGACACAGTGATCCAACATAGTGCTATTTGACTGAAATGTTCTCCCTAGACATTGCAGCCTAACATCCCAACCAGACCCAGTGATCCAACATAGTGCTATTGGACTGAAATGTTCTCCCTAGACATTGCAGCCTAACATCCCAACCAGACACAGGGATCCAACATAGTCCTATTTGACTGTATGTTATCCCTAGACATTGCAGCCTAACATCCCAGCCAGACACAGTGATCCAACATAGTCCTATGTGACTGAATGTTATCCCTAGACATTGCAGCCTAACATCCTAACCAGACACAGTGATCCAACATAGTGCTATTTGACTGAAATGTTCTCCCTAGACATTGCAGCCTAACATCCCAACCAGACACAGTGATCCAGCATAGTCCTATTTGACTGAAATGTTATCCCTAGACATTGCAGCCTAACACCCCAACCAGACACAGTGATCTAACATAGTGCTATTTGACTGAATGTTATCCCTAGACATTGCAGCATAACATCCCAACCAGACACAGTGATCCAACATAGTGCTATTTGACTGAAATGTTATCCCTAGACATTGCAGCCTAACACCCCAACCAGACACAGTGATCCAACATAGTCCTATTTGACTGAAAGTTATCCCTAGACATTGCAGCCTAACATCCCAACCAGACCCAGTGATCCAACATAGTGCTATTGGACTGAAATGTTCTCCCTAGACATTGCAGCCTAACATCCCAACCAGACACAGAGATCTAACATAGTGCTATTTGACTGAATGTTATCCCTAGACATTGCAGCATAACATCCCAACCAGACACAGTGATCCAACATAGTCATATTTGACTGAATGTTATCCCTAGACATTGCAGCATAACATCCCAACCAGACACAGTGATCCAACATAGTCATATTTGACTGAATGTTATCCCTAGACATTGCAGCCTAACTCCCCAACCAGACACAGAACAGATCTATAACCAGAGGTACCAAGGGCGACAACAAGAAGATAGATCCCAATGATGTAATAGGGACAGGTGATCAGTGGTTTCTTTGTTCCTACTATAAGGACACAGAGGTAAATCCCTGATTCTGGTTCTATATTATTAGTTGCTTTATCATTATCAAGGAACTAAATACACAAGGTCTGTTATTAGTCTGAAATAAATGATTATCTCCTATTAGCTAATGCTTAGCCGCAAGGTATTGCTATAGCTATTACTTCAGATAATGAGCTCAGATATGTAAATTGATTCATAAACGCACATTCGATAGCTTCACCTACCGGAAAGAATGTACATAAATAGAAAGAAAACACTTAACAAACTCAGCCTTTTGGTTATTCAGAAGAAGTTACTTTAAGGAAAAATTGATGCCGGACAAATGGAGGACACCAAGTCATAGCATAAGCTAGCTCACTTTCCCTGTCGGAGCAGGTGAGCTAATCAGTTATTTCGGACTAGTCTTTTATGTCCCTGAACAGACTGGGCACAAAAGATGTGAGAAAACTATGGTCATACAGCTATTCACTTAGACATGAGCTCAAAGTGCTCTAAACTGGTGAGGAAATCACCATTGTTAATTCTGAACATCTCACTCTTATCCTGATCAACTCATTTAAAGGAAGGACCCTAGCGGAACAAACTTTATTTTATTTCAATTAAGTACTTTTGGAAAGGAACTCTTTTATTAGTTAGTTCAATAATCCAATGATATTACATCGCTAATTTTGGTCCAAAGGCCTACCCATGTTATATTTACATAGCAGTCCTTGCTGTAATCTATCTGTCTCGGGCTGGAGAATTAATGGCTGGTTAATGTCGAAACCTAACACTACTTCTATGGTAAACCTTTGCAATGGTCTTCGGCTGCAATGTACCCTGTTCTAGTATTGAGCACAATGAATCAGACCAGTTTAACAGGAGGAAAAAAATACAGATAGACAAGGACCTCCTGAACTCTAAACAGACACTGTACCTCTTCAGCTACCTGGGCGCCGGCAAACAACTCAGTTCTATGTTGAGCTGAGCAGATCGGTATAAGTATTTGATTTGAGGAATATTTATTTTAATGATCGACATACTTTTGTCAATATTTGTGATTTAAAACTATATAAACGGGTTTCTTTTTCATTTGAAATGCTTCTTTCTCGCACTGTAATAAAAAATTGAACTTACTGTCTCTCTGTGTTGCCTCTGCTGACAATTTGGATGCTTTCCAATCGTACAGCTCATGGCATATAATGACAAACTGACCACAGGGGCAGGGTACAAATGTCTGAAATACACACATATGGGATACTGATATGGGTCACAACACAAGTGTATGTTTATGTGTGTTGTGACCCATATCAGTATACCATATGTGTGTATTTCAGACATTTGTAACGTGCCCCTGTGAACTGACGGTATGCCATCAACACAGAATAACAAAACTGTCAAAAGCAGGGTCATTACCCAAATGAGGGGCATGTCTGTATGTATTGGGGCTGAGGAAAAATTACACTTTGACTTACCAACACAATCATCTTGCTTATTCTCAGACTGGCATCGTAGACAAGCATCTGTAACGAGAAATGTTGAATGATTGATCAAGTGTTGTGACATACATCATTACATGGGGGTGGGGGGGTGGGGGTGGCTTTAGTCAGAACAAAGGCTAAGCAACATTACAATAGGAGTCGTGATATCGTACCCATAACTTGTACCCGACAGATTGCACACGTGTCGCATTCTACATCCCAACTCCACATAGCAACTAAGTTCCATTTTTTCAGGGTAAACATTTTCTCTGGCTTTTTCGCTGCCTCTCGATCGACTTCCATTTCGTCCGCCATCTTTGTTTGAAGTATGAAGTACAACGATATTATTTCTTTGTATTTAAATTAAATTTGATTTTGTTTTAAAGTATATTAATAGCAGGTAGGGAACTGTAATTTATTGATGCTGTTTAAACTACATAATATAATTATTTTGAGTTCCATGAATTAATTACTAGTACATCATGTTTATGATCACATGACACAACATGGAAGTATTCTAACCAGGAAGTAAAGAGGATATAGTTTGTTTGTTAGAGGTTCATTGACAAGTAAGTCGAATGCGATTTCCAACTGCACAATGAGTGTCAGTGGAGATGAGTATCGCAACAGCGACGACGAATACGATTCTGTCTATGCAAATGACGCTATACTAGATATAGCAAATGTTTCGATCTGTTTACAAAAAGAAACACTGACAAGTTTACTTGAACGTGACAAGAAAAAAACTGAAAAGGATGATAGATGCAGATGGTATCACGGGAAAATATCACGCGAGGCAGCAGAGAGTCTACTTAAGGAAGGTAAATATGAAAAGACAGTACGATGAACAAGAACATTGATAATGTTTCTATTAATCATAGGAGTATGATATTTTGTCTATAGAGAAAGATAAAATGAAAGTGGAAATAAACAATGAAAACGTCAGTTTCTTAAACGATGAAAAATAACTGTGAAAAGACCATTTAAGATTGAAATCTTCAGTGTATAGTTATAATGATATTTTAATTAGGTTGATTGTGAACATAAAACATAATATGAAAAGGCAAAAATAAATAAATATTTACTGATTCAGAATGAGATAATACTGCTTTCAGAATGAGGTAAGATAAAATTTATTTAAAGTCGGCTAGTCGAGGAATAACAATACAATAAAACATAAACTCTAATGAGATTAAGACCGACATAACAATAGGGGAGATCGGGGCAAATTCAGCCCTTTTAAAGTCCGTTTTGGGAAGTATGGCAGCACACCGTTTTTGAACATTCTTTAATTTTCCCTGTCGGATGGCCGAACGAGCCCTGCCATGGGATAAGTTCGGACAGGCATTCAGGTAAATTCGGCCCCATTTGAATCAGCTTAATTATGATGTTATAAAGCATGCAACGTCAGATTTTACCGCCAATTTTACGTCTTTTTATGTGTTACATGGGCCGAACTTGCCACAGTATCATTGGCCGAAACTGTCTGGGCCCAAATTGATATTTCAATGAATTCTTATCGTACAGCAATATGGTAGTGAGTGCTTGGATAGCGTGCTCGTCTTCACCAAGATGGCCGGATTCAATCCCGGTTACCTGCCCAACCACGCAGGTTTTCTCTGGATACTCCGGCTTCCTCCCACACTTATTAAGAATTAAATCCTTTGCGTGCTTCCGTCAGGTCACAAAAAAAATGATTGAAATAAGTTGGGGAAAAACTGTTATGTAATTGCTATAGAAAAAAGTGCATATTACATATTTGACGATAAGTCTATAAAACTAAATGTATAGAGATGTTAGTTAAAAAAACCCCAAAAAACCCCAAAATATTGTAATACTTTGATGTAACTGAAATTGTTGTTATATCGATATATAGTCTGATTTCCTGTTCCATTCTGAAACACCGGATTGAATTTCAAGTTTTGTAACTGTCACTGAGGTTTGACAGGTAATGATGCCAAATAAAATTAAACAGTTTCTGTCTTTAACTAGTTATAAATCGGCATGTGTTGTGAAAAAGTGATGCGTTGCTAAAAAAATGGCGTTGAACTCAGGTTCGTTTTCTGGACAATTATTGTTGATTTCGACATAAATGAATTATCCATTGTTTCTTTTATGAGTGGTGATGCATGCATACATTATGTAAAGACATGTTTATTATTTCGTTCATATACACAACAAATCGAAATCAAAGCTGATGAAATTTTAGATGATGAAAAATAAATGTAAACGTTGACCTACTGTATTGGTTTAATGCGTCTCTTTTTGAAAATATCATCTCCCGGTAGAAATTTGAATAGAACATGGTTGATGACAAAAAGGATTTTCAGAAAACATCCACGTTTTTACTTTTTGTTGCCTGTGGCAAAAACTGAAATAAAAAAGTCATGAAGCACCGACAAAGAGATAAATGCACGCAGTTCCAAGATTTTCCGGTTATTTTTGATCCTGCCGGAAATAACGTATGAAGGCCGATGGAGTGTGACGTGCTTGTGACGTCATAGTATGATAATCTCTAAACGACGTTTCATGCCTGCTAGTATCAAAATTTATGTGATAGATTTTTTTCACTCAGAATGTATATAAGTTTTTACCTAAATAAATAAGTAATAAAACATGGGTATTGTTTTCACTATATGAAGATGTTCATGTATGGGTTGAAACACAATTGTCTTTGCTTTAAGGATACACTTCCTGTTTCCCCACTTGACGTCTACTTCTGGACGAATTTTTTTAAAGGCAAGGTGTAGTAAGGGGAAGCAACTCTGTTTGCGCACGCATGTGTTACCATTAAAGAGCTTTGCTACGTTCTTATTAAGCACCGAAGAATTTTACGATAGAAATTAAAGTGTATTTGTAATAGAGGTAATTATTTTTTCAATGCAATGTGTCCATTGCGGTTGAATCAAGGACCTCTGTCTTGCTAGCCTATTGCAAATAAATTCCCCATAGCCGAGTCGGCAGGAAGTGACTAGTGTTTTACCAGGATGACATATCCAAACAGAGATATAACCTACAAAGTTTTTTGAAACAAGAAATTGTCATGATTTTTATGTGTTTCCCTGTTTATGGGCCATTAGCTGTCTGATCTGTCAGGCTAATTAAGAGCTCAGTATCCATGGTGATCATGATCATTTAACACTGATCCTATCAACTAAGCTCATAGCATGATAAATGAGGCCCAGGATTAAATGGTTTATTGCTAACATCAGCTGTAAGCACTGTGAAACCTTAAGGGTACCTGTTTAAAGCATTGACTGACAAAGCTTTGACTGACAGTGTTTATAGCATTGACTGACAGTGTTTAAAGTATTGACTGACAGTGTTTCAAGCATTGACTGACAGTGTCTAAAGCATTGACTGACAGCGTTTAAAGCATTGACTGACAAGTGTTTAAAGCATTGACTGACAGTGTTTAAAGTATTGAATGACAGTGTTTAAAGCATTGACTGACAAAGCATTTACTGACAGTGTTCAAAGCAGTGACTGACAGTGTTTAAAGCATGGACTGACAGTGTTTAAAGTATTGACTGACAGTGTTTAAAGCATTGTCTGACAGTGTTTAAAGCATTGACTAACAGTGGTTAAAGCATTGACTGACAGTGTTCAAAGCAGTGACTGACAGTGTTTACAGCATTGACTGACATTGTTTAAAGTATTGACTGACAGTGTTTAAAGTATTGACTGACAAAGCATTGACTGACAGTGTTTAAAGCATTGACTGACAAAGCATTTACTGACAGTGTTCAAAGCATTGACTGACAGTGTTTAAAGCATTGACTAACAGTGGTTAAAGCATTGACTGACAGTGTTCAAAGCAGTGACTGACAGTGTTTAAAGAATTGACTGACAGTGTTTAAAGCATTGACTGACAAAGTATTGACTGACAGTGTTTAAAGTATTGACTGACATTGTTTAAAGCATTGACTGACAAAGCATTGACTGACAGAGTTTAAAGCATTGACTAACAGTGTTTAAAGCATTGACTGACAGTGTTTATAGTATTGACTGACAGTGTTTAAAGCATTGACTAACAGTGTTTAAAGTATTGACTGACAGTGTTTAAAGCATTGACTAACAGTGGTTAAAGCATTGACTGACAGTGTTCAAAGCAGTGACTGACAGTGTTTACAGCATTGACTGACATTGTTTAAAGTATTGACTGACAGTGTTTAAAGCATTGTCTGACAGTGTTTAAAGCATTGACTAACAGTGGTTAAAGCATTGACTGACAGTGTTCAAAGCAGTGACTGACAGTGTTTAAAGCATGGACTGACAGTGTTTAAAGTATTGACTGACAGTGTTTAAAGCATTGTCTGACAGTGTTTAAAGCATTGACTAACAGTGTTTAAAGCATTGACTGACAGTGTCTAAAGCATTGACTGACAGTTTTTAAAGCATTGACTAACAGTGTTTAAAGCATTGACTGACAGTGTCTAAAGCATTGACTGACAGCGTTTAAAGCATTGACTGACAAGTGTTTAAAGCATTGACTGACAGTGTTTAAAGCATTGACTAACAGTGTTTAAAGCATTGACTGACAGTGTCTAAAGCATTGACTGACAGCGTTTAAAGCATTGACTGACAAGTGTTTAAAGCATTGACTGACAGTGTTTAAAGGATTGACTGACAGTGTTTAAAGCATTGACTGACAGAGTTTAAAGCATTGACTAACAGTGTTTAAAGCATTGACTGACAGTGTCTAAAGCATTGACTGACAGCGTTTAAAGCATTGACTGACAAGTGTTTAAAGCATTGACTGACAGTGTTTAAAGTATTGAATGACAGTGTTTAAAGCATTGACTGACAAAGCATTTACTGACAGTGTTCAAAGCATTGACTGACAGTGTTTAAAGCATTGACTGACAAAGCATTGACTGGCAGTGTTTAAAGCATTGACTAACAGTGTTTAAAGCATTGACTGACAGTGTTTAAAGCATTGACTAACAGTGTTTAAAGTATTGACTGACAGTGTTTCAAGCATTGACTGACAGTGTCTAAAGCATTGACTGACAGTTTTTAAAGCATTGACTAACAGTGTTTAAAGCATTGACTGACAGTGTCTAAAGCATTGACTGACAGCGTTTAAAGCATTGACTGACAAGTGTTTAAAGCATTGACTGACAGTGTTTAAAGCATTGACTAACAGTGTTTAAAGTATTGACTGACAGTGTTTCAAGCATTGACTGACAGTGTCTAAAGCATTGACTGACAGCGTTTAAAGCATTGACTGACAAGTGTTTAAAGCATTGACTGACAGTGTTTAAAGGATTGACTGACAGTGTTTAAAGCATTGACTGACAAAGCATTTACTGACAGTGTTCAAAGCATTGACTGACAGCGTTTAAAGCATTGACTGACAAGTGTTTAAAGCATTGACTGACAGTGTTTAAAGCATTGACTAACAGTGTTTAAAGCATTGACTGACAGTGTTCAAAGCAGTGACTGACAGTGTTTAAAGTATTGACTGACAGTGTTTAAAGGGCTGTATAGTCAAATGACACCCTTAAAAGCAAGTAGATACCGAACAAAAGTTTACAGTTGATAATGACCTGAAGCCAACATCCAGTGTGGTCAGTTTTATCTTTTGGGAAAGCCAACATCCAGTGTGGGCAGTTTTATCTTTTGGGAAAGCCAACTGCCAGTGTGGTCAGTTTTATCTTTTGGGAAGCCGATGAAAAAACAGCTACAACCGAAAAAGCGCAATATCCAGGCCTTTCAGTAAAAAGTGAACGTGTACAGTACCACGCTGTTGACCGACAACACAGTATCAGGTAGCCAATTTCACATATAAAACATTCTTGTCGCTTTTAATTTACAC